TCCTACACTTTCCGTTGCAACTTCCTCTCGAAATAGAGCGCACTCCTCATTTAGTACGTCTCCGTTTATTCACTCCTCATAAAGAAAGAGAAGTAATGACAGTTCTCTAATACATTATTGACATTATGAAAGCCACGACTCGCTGAAGCAGAATGCTCGTAGACACAGGCAGATGAATTTATCTCCTACCTACTTCTACTTCATCTTCTTCTGTGTTATTCATAGAATCGTCTAAACAGGATGGGAGAGAAACAAAACAGCTGTAAAGATGTAAAGTCTCTTATCCCGACTTCTCTTGGCGACTCCACGGCGTGCGCTGGCAGGAAGGGTCGTCCAGGGGAGGAGTGGGTAAAAAGACTGGAGGGCCTCGAACCCTGGCTGGTTTGGCTCAGTGGATAGAGCATAGTCGTGTGGCCTGAAAGGTCTCAGGTTTGATTCCAGTCAATGGTACATCCCAGAGTTGCAGGCTTAATCCCCAGTAGGGGGCATGCAGGAGGCAGCCAATCAGTGATTCTCTCTCATCATTGATGTTCCTATCTCTCTGTCTCCCCCTCTCCCTTCCACTCTGAAATCAATAATAACTAAAAAAATTAAAAAAATTAAAAAAAAGAATGGAGAATCATTCTTTAGCATTAGGAATGCTAAATTAAGGGAGCCAAATGTATTTCAGGTGCCAGGGGCACGCGGAAAGCACTTGTCTTTCCTTGAGAACCATCTGCGTTACCCTACAGCACTTACCTAGGTTTGGGACTGTGGTATTTTTAACTCCCGGAAGGGTCTTCCAGGGATGGATGAGGTTTGAAAACTAGTGAAAAGACACACATGTCAGCCAATCTTAGCAAGCACCGGCTTCCAGAAGCCCCACGCGAGCCCTCACAGGAGCTGGAAGGGTTGCAGGAAAGACCACCCAGCACAGTGGGTTTGCAATGTGAGATGCAGATTCCTTTCCGGAGCAGTTCTGTAGGAGTTCCCCTTAAAACTGGGGGAGCCTCTCTGCGGCCCCTCCACTCTCCATGGGACAGGCCCTTAGTGGGATCCCATGCGGCCAAAGGATGACGACAGGAAAGCGCTTTGGTAGATGCGGATGGGAGGAAGCTAGCCTGAGCGATTTAGGACCCAAGCGGGAGAGGAGAAAATTGGGGTTCGGGTCGGGACTACCACCTGCTTTCCCTCCCGGGCCTGCCAGGACTGTCTTCATTTTTGCCCTTTTCAATCCAAAGGTCTCGCGTCTCTCTCTGGGTCTCCTTTTTCGGGGTCTTCTTCCCCCAAGTCCTTGCCACTCCACATCTCCCCTCCACCACTGGACACTCCACGGCTCCCCCGATTCCCGCTACCCCCCCCCTCTCCACCCCACCCCTCACCCCCGGTGGGGAGTGCAGCCCCGGCCCCGCCCCGCTGCCCTCCTCCGGGTCAGTGGCGGTTACGTGGCTGTTCAGGTGCTCGCTCTCTGCCGCCCCCTGTTCGCCTGCCCACAGCGACGACGACGCCATGGCTGCGATCGCCGCTCCGACCCCAGCACGTGCGTCCGGCGCGGGCGGCTGGGCAGGTCGGAGCCCGCCCAGCGGCCAATGGGCTTCCTGCGGGGCCGGCCCACGTGCCGCGACCCCCGCCGCCCGCGCAGGCGCCTGGGCTCCCGGGAGCCGCGGGGGGCGGTGTCCCGGGGGGAGGAGGGCTGTTAGGGGGCCCGGGGGAGGCGGGGCCGCGGGAAGATAGTCTCAGCCCGGCTGCTGATTGGCCAGCCGCGCACCGCGGGGCGGGGCGCTGTGGGGGGGGATGGGGGCGGGGGTGTCACTCGCTGGATGCTGACCTCGGTTAAAGTCACAGCAGCTTGGGATGCGGAGCGGCGACAGTCTTGGTGCGGATGGGAGTCCCACCTCCCTCACCCCACCACTCACGCCCCAGGTAATGTCCTGGGTGGTCAGGCTGGACCACCGCCCCGCTTCAAGCTCCCAAACCCACGTTCCTCCCCATCCACCCCCCAGATGTCCGCCCGCTTCTACGTGACAAGAAGTCAGAAAGGCTGCGAACTGCCGGGAAAATGGATGGACCAAAAGCGCAATTTTTATCTGACAACTGAAATCCAGCGTTGGGGGATGCAGAGGGGGGAGGGAAGCCCTTCAGGTCCTAACTTCCACCCCTGTTCCTAAATGCCCGCGATGCGTCCTCAGACCGGCTTAGTTTCGTTGTAATTCTAATCCCGGTGGGAGCCCTTGCTCAAGCGATCCTGAGAAAACTGTCCCTGGTGGTACAGCCACCGCCTCCTCCCTGCACTGCATGATTTGGGGTAGAATCCGTCTACTACTGACTGCTGGGCTTTGAGAAAATAACCAGTCCTCCTCCCCCACCTCCCACCCCCCCTTTTTTTTTTCTAACTGGAATCTTGAGATTTGAATCAGTCTCTGAAAAAAAAAAAAAACCTACAAAAATCTAGTTATACTCTCTCCGTGGTGCTGAAGACAGATTCCCCACTGTTAGTCCTGTTCACCTCTTACATTGGGTTCTAGTAGTAAACGTTTTTGTTTTTTTAGTTTGTTTTTCTCCCAGTGGTAACTTTCTGCGAATTTAAATAGGTATATAATTGAGCCAGAGCCAGGTTCTTTTAGTTTTGGGGTTGTTTTTATTTTTTGTTTTGTTTTGTTTTGCTTGTATAAGGGTGGCAGACCTTGGAATGGTTACTTATCTATTACTTTAGCGCACTACAATTTACTTGTGTGTTCTTGTACTAAGCCAGGCCTTAGGTGGAAAACGGTGGTCAACTAGGAAACACTAGGCTGATTTGCACGTCAAGCTTGGAAACAGCTCTTAGAACAATAGTTCCCACAAAGCTGGACTACAACTCCCATGAGCCCCCGAGCGCGCCCGGAAAACGCAACTTGACAGCTTCCTGTTCCGCGAAAAGCCGCTCGGCCCGAGATGGGAATGTAAACGTGGGGTTTGGAGGGTGGGTGTTTCCTGGGTTCTACCGAAGAGGAACGGACGAATGGGCCAATAGTTGGACGTTTCTCTCTTCCCCGCTCTCTTTTCATTCCTCGATCTTTTCAGGAAAGTGCCGGTTGACGGGAGTGGGACGTGTGTGTGTGTGTTCAGTGCTTCTTGGAGCTCCTCGCGGAAACTCAACAGGAGGAGCGGTTACTTTAAGTGGATTCTTACAGGGCCCTGGACTGTGGAGTGAAGCCTCTGCTTTCTCGGTGAGAGTTGTTTGCTCATAAAACAAAATGCTGGTACTGGTTAGGGCTCCCGGTGGCTTGTGGGTGGGCGGAAGGCATGGCGACACTTCAGGTCTTTTAGGGGATTGCTCTCTGATATTAGCGATTATAGGTTCGTGTTTTCTGATCCTGTGGGTATTACTCCCTCCTCCCCTCGTTGGTTTAAATTTATCATGGAATGCCCTTTCTACTACTCCACTAGTTACTAATAATCTTTTTAACTATAAAAGTGTTGAAACTAATGGCTGCTTTAGTGCTCACTGGCCGAATGCACGAATATCTGTGTGGTAATTTGGCAGTCCCCTTCCAGGTGTTGGAGGATATGATGTCCTGAAGAAGGTTCTGTACAGATCAGGAGACTGGGCTCTACTCCTTCTCTTACCACAAATCTTATTACTCCGCGCTTAAACCCTTTGGACTGGTTCTTTGGTTAAATAAGGGGTTGAACTAGATAATCACTTCGAAAACTTTGATTTTAAATATTGGGCTTTGAGATATATAAAGGTAAATCATTTGAACATTTTGCTGATTTGCATATAAAACTTATGTGGCTTTTAACTCTTAAAAATATATAAATTTAAATAAAACTACCTTTAATCTCACAACCCAGTGTTAGGTTTTCACTTAATTTGCATTTCCTATTAGCTTCCCATGATTTTTAATGACTGCTGTTCTACTTAACCTCACCGTTGTGGCTTGCAGTTTTTACTTATTTGTAGTACATAGCTTTGAGTCACTGATTATTTTGCTGATAAATGCCTAGCAGTGGAACTGAGTGAATAGTGTAGCTTAAACATTATGGAGAAAATATATTTTAGCAGATAGGCCAAGGTTATTCATTTTTGTCACATAGCTGTGAATGAACAAACTATTTCTGCTGTAGCTACTCTTGTTAAAATGGACAACCTTCAGTTTGTAGATGTTCTTCATTGGAACAAGGAGATCCAATTTAAGTGAGCAGAATTAGTGGTTGTTTGTACCCAAATAGGTCAGATGCATTTTTTTTTCTTTGTCTGCATCTAGTTTGAAGTTCTGTTGCGGAGTGGGGACAGCCTTCAAGTGACAGGCATATTTCTAAGACAACCTCAGTGGCAAATTATAAAAATTTGGGCAAACAGCTCGATAATTTGAAACAAAACTTGTGCTAGAATCCTATCTTAGTGTGGTTGTTGAGCACCTATTAAGAAAGCATTTAACAGTTATCCAGATTTACTAATGGAGGATAGCTGTGCTGTTCCCTTTTTTCTTTAGGTTTGTGTGTGTGAAGGACAGGTTTTATTCCTTCCCTCCGGCTCATTGTTTAAGCAGAGAATATGATGGGAAGGATAATTGGAACCAAACTCATAATTCAGGTTTGAGATCGTCTTCCTTTGGGAAATATTTAAGTAAAAATAAGGGCAAGTCCACAGATTTCCAAAATTCTTTAATGGATAAGCTTAACGCCCAGCAACTATTAAAAGCAACTCAAGCTGGTCAAAGGTAAAAAAACAGTATAGAGCAAAAACAGTGTTAGCCGACTTTGCTTACTAATCTGACAGTAGAGAGAACAGGTCTGTTTTCTTCATCTGGTGTGATTTCTTTTGCATTGCTGGATTTGAGAGTGGTGATTTGGCAATTAAGTGGCATCTGATACCAGTGTGATATATACCTAGGAAAAACCAATGCTGGGTGAAGTCCTTACTCTATAATCTACCATGGTCTTTCAAGTTAGTTGTTTCTATTTAAATAAAAGATATAAAATGCCATGTAATCCCAAACAGCCCTGTGGGACAGGTTAAAAAAATAACAAAATACTTAAGAAGGGGAAAGAGGGAAGGGAAGCTTCCTGGGCATAACACCATTTGCAAGGTCACAGCGAATACCCCAACAAAGGGCAGATCTTTTCTTCTCAGTTGGCACCAGGTAATTGTTTGGAACATAGATGTGCTGAGGCTTGGACTGCGGTTCTGCTCGACAAAGCATCTGCTCTCGGACACCCCAGCGTAACTCCTTCCTGTGATCTTCACCAGGTAATCGCATGGAGTCCCAGTCTCGTTTGTACTCAAAATAGCGGGCCACCCGGTCTATCTTGCCCCGGTTTCGGCTTAACTGGTCCAGCCTTGGGAGAATGAAGGACTTTGGTCGGCTGGCAACAATCAGGTCTTGTTCATAAGCTGGGGGGCCCATTGCTTCTCTTTGTAGAATGCTATTGAGCTGATCTTGGTATTCATGTGGAAGATGAAGTTTTTCTGAAATATCAACAGGGGACTCCCCGCCTTTTGGGAACTGAAGGTTCATCAGCCTTTGTCTTAAATCCCAGAGATCCATATCAATTTCTGTACCAGACTCTGATTCACTGATAATGGACTCATCTGTCACTAATACTTCCCCATCGGGCTTCCTACGCAGCACCTTTCTCTTCATCACTGGCTTTCGGGGTCTTTGGGAGGCCTCCGAGGCTGTTTCTGAGGTGACGTTACTTGTTGCATGTGGGTACTGCAGTTGCTCAGGAAGAGCATGTCGCTTTCCTAGGGTTACTGAAGCTTTGCTGTAAGGATCATATTGGGTTAGTAAAGCTTTGCTGTAGGGATCGTATTGGGTAGGCCAGGCTTCTCTCCTGACATCTCCCTCACCCTGCCCTGCACAGATCTGGGTGAAAGCTGTAGCAGCCGCTAACATTTGTTCTTCTGGATCCATACTGGCCCAATTTCGTCCACTAGGTCCCATGAGTTCCTCCATTGCTTCCCTCACATTGAAGGGCCTTCTGCAAGAGAAAACACTGATCAGTTTTCTAATAATAAATTTATATCTCACAAATTGTTCACTCCTTTTTTGTCAGTGAAATGAAAAATAGCCAAGGCAATCCTATATAATAAAGAGGTAATATGAAATTTATCACCACTCTGACACACAAGATGGCCGCCCCCATGTGGAACAAGATGGCCACCACAAGATGGCCAACAGGTGAGGGCAGTTGTGGGCAATCAGGCCAGCAAGGGAGGGCAGTTAGAGGTAACCAGGCCAGCAGGGGAGTACAGTTGGGGGCAGTCAGGCTTCAGGGAAGCAGTTATGTGCTGATCAGGCTGGCAAGATTAGGAGATAATCAGGCTGACAGGCAGAAGAGGTTAGGACAATCAGGCAGGCAAGTGGTTGGAAGCCAGCAGTCCTTGATTATGAAAGGGATCCCCAACTGCCTGTCGGACATCCCTCAAGGAGTCCCAGATTGGAGAGGGTGCAGGCTGGGCTGAGGGACACCCCCTCACCCCGTGCACAAATTTTGTGCATTGGGCTGCTAGTCATAACTATAATAGTTAAATAATAAATTACAGATTAGTACAAGATAGTATGGGAACAGTTTGCAGGGGCATTAACTCAGTTCTGGAGAATTCTGCTTTTATTTTTTTAAACATTCAAATATTGTTCTGTTTTGTTTTTTTAAAATATATTTTTGTTGATTTCAGAGAGGAAGGAGGGAGAGAGAGGGAGAGGGAAAGAGAGGAAAACATTAATGATGAGAGATGTTTGGTCGACTGCCTCCTGCAGGCCCCCTACTGGGGATCAAGCCCACAACCCCAGTTTGTGCCCTGATTGGGAATCAAACCCTGACCTCCTGGTACATGGGAAGATGCTCAACCACTGAGCCACACCAGCTGGGCTGGAGAATCCTGCTTTCATTTCCACTCTCTTCTTATTCACTCCTATTTTCTACTGCCTGCTAATTCTTGCCACCTTTAGTAGCTCACAGGGCAGGATAGGTGAGTTTTGGCATAAGAAAAGCTTGATACTGCATGATATAGGACATAAGGCTTCATGACCATTGTTAAGTTGTACTGAGAAGGACACTTCATGTATCCATTGTTTTGTGTGCTTCATTTCATTCATGCAATCCTCATAACTAGGATAGGTACTCTGATTATCTTTTCACAGATGAGTAACATGAGTCAGAGAGATTAAATAACTTAGCCCAAGACTACACAGCTAGTACAATACATAGAATTCCAACGTATGGATGTACTGTAATTTTTCCGCTAGTCCATAATTGATTTATTGTAGGCTTACAGTCTTTTGTTGTTAGAAAATGAATGTTACAATGTGATCTTATAAATTTTTACATATTTGTGCAAGCATAAATACCCTTTCCCATTCTTAAAACTTTTAAGTTATTTCATGTTTTCTTCTAGCATTTTTATAGTTATATGTTTGAAATGTAAACTTTTAATCTGTCAGAGATATGGCAAAAAACAAAACCAGCTACCTAGATTTATCTAACATAGTCAGCCTTAGAACAGACAAGTAGATGATCTTCTATTACCTAACATAACCATCAGTCATAGGTTATCTAGTACCATTTTTAAGGATGTAGTACAGTTGTCCTCAGATGATCTTTTTTTTCAGAACATGCATTAAATTTAACTTTAAAAAGGATCACAGTGCTTAATTACCTTCTTTCTGCCATCAAAATTGTTTAAAGTGGTAAAATCTTGACTCCAAGTTCTACTTCCAATATAAAGTACAATCATTGACAAATTTCTTCAATCAGGCTAGCTTCTACTGTACTACCTTAAGACAGAACTTAGTATTAGATGATAGGACATGTAAGGTATTAGTTTTATTTAATACTGGAAAGCAATAGACACAGTAGACATATATTCCATATCAAAAGATCTCTCTTTTTAAAAACTTTTTTAAAGAGAGGAGGGCGAGAGAAACATTGATCAGTTGCCTTCTAAATGTGCCATGACCAGGGATTAAACCCACAACCTAGATATGTGCCCTGACCAGGAATCAAACCTGCCACATTTCTGGTTTACAGAATGATACTCGAATCAAATGAGCCACCCCAGCCAGAGCCATATCAACAGATTTTGATGGGAAAGGTTTAATACATATAATGAGAAGTCAAAAGGAAATGTTTTAGGGGGAAAATATCAGTAACATCAGTCCCTAGTCATCTCAGCTAATGAATACAGATATGAAATATACAGTCATTTCCCCTAAATTCTGACTATTGAAACCTTAACAATGCTAGCCAAACATTTTTTATATTACTTTCCTTTTCTCCTTTAAATTGGCTACACAGATGAAAAAGAATAATCTCTGTGGATGGTCAACCCTAATAACTAAGGTAATGCTTGCATCCCTGGGCAGAGCAAAAGTCTGCTTAAGGCATTAAATTAACTCTTAGAGACTATTTGAACATCGTGGAAAGCTACTGACATGGATCAAAGGAACCAACACTAAACCTGTATCCCTTTTACTCTTTCCAGGTAGTTCGGACCCTTATGATTCATTTATTCCTGGAGTTCTTACCATGGCTGAAAATGATGTAGACAGAATCCAGACTGACAAACTCCTAAAAAGAATACAAGAACTAGAGCAAGAGATAGAAAGACTTAAAAAAGAACAGGCCAACACCAAGGACTCAAATGCTAAAGAAAATGCTTCAAGAGCTAGAAAAGCTAAGCGTGCATTTGACTTCAGTGCTCACGGTCAAAGACATGTAGCCCTAAAGCTAGCCTATCTGGGCTGGGGATACCAGGGCTTTGCCAGTCAGGAAAACACAAACAATACAATTGAGGAGAAACTGTTTGAGGCTCTGGCCAAGACTCGACTAATAGAAAGTAGACAGACATCCAACTATCACCGATGTGGACGAACAGACAAAGGAGTTAGTGCCTTTGGACAGGTAAGGACCACTAAACTGTTTCTCAAAGCAAGCAATACCAATATATTCTAGGTGTACATACTGAGGATTCATATTTGTATCTCTAACACGTTATCTTTCTCTGATTCCATAGGTGATTTCTCTTGACCTTCGTTCTCACTTCCCAAAGGGAAGGGATTCAGAGGATTTTAATTTAAAAGATGAAGTCAACGATGATGCTAAAGAGATCCGTTATACCCACATTCTCAATCGGGTGCTCCCTCCAGACATCCGGGTACTAGCCTGGGCCCCTGTAGAGCCCAGCTTCAGTGCTAGGTTCAGTTGTCTTGAGCGGACTTACCGGTACTTTTTCCCTCGTGCTGATTTAGACATTGTAACCATGAACTGTGCAGCTCAGAAGTATGTCGGCACACATGATTTTAGGAACTTATGTAAAATGGATGTAGCCAATGGAGTGATTAATTTTCAGAGGACTATTCTGTCTGCTCAAGTACAGCTAGTGGGCCAGAGTCTGGCTGAGGACAGATGGCAAGAACCTTTCCAGTTATGTCAGTTTGAAGTGACTGGCCAGGCGTTCCTTTATCATCAAGTCCGCTGTATGATGGCTATCCTTTTTCTGATTGGCCAAGGAATGGAGAAGCCAGAGATTATCGATGAGCTGCTAAACATAGAGAAAAATCCCCAGAAACCTCAATACAGGTAAATTTAAGTATTAATATATATTTACAAAACAACCATTGCTTTTAGATTATTTTGAAATATATTCTAGTATATCTTTCTATCCTCACAATTGTCTGAATAACTAAGTCACTGAGTCTGTCTTCATGAAGCTTTTAGTATAACTTGTAGAATGTTATGAACATGTAAGAGGAAGTGGTATCTTTGATTTTTTCTTCTGTTACTCCTATCCCAGGAATAAGAAATAGGTGTTTGGACCAGGCCTCTTAAATAAAAGCATATTCACTTCTTCAGCTCCCAACCCCCATTGAATTTATGTTAAGAGGTATTGTTAGGTTCTGCTAATATAAGAATGCAAACTATTCATATTAATTCTTGCTTGCTTTGTGTTATGGAATAATCATACTACTACTTTGGGGTTTTTCCTAATTTTCAATTTCTGAAATGGTAGGAAACGTAGGAAAAGTAAGAAAAACAGCTGACTTTCCTTTTGAGAGCAGGCTGAGGTCAGACAGGCCAATAATTCATTCCTTAGCAATGAACTCTATAAGTTTCTACGTCATACTATGCAAAATTGACAAGTTTGGAAAAATACCACCAGCTGTTTTAAATTCTATACCCATATGATGGGGCCCAGTGAAGTCACCTGTAGGTGACTTGTTACCATTGAAATTTACCCCAGTTACCAGTTGCCCCATGGTTTGTCTTTTTTTTAGTTATAATGTTGTGAAAAATTAGGGATAGTGTTATATTTTCTTAACTATTAGATACTTAATATTGACAACCTTTTCCCTCTCCTTTAACCCGACTAACCTTGCTTTTCAAGAACTGCTGGATGGCTGCTATGTATTCTCATGCTGTTTTGTCTCCTCTCTAGTATGGCTGTAGAATTTCCTCTGGTCTTGTATGACTGCAAGTTTGAAAATATCAAGTGGCTCTATGACCAGGAGGTTCAGGAGTTCAATATAATCTACCTACAACAGCAGTGGGCTAATCAAGCTGTTAAGACTCACATGTTATATAGTATGCTGCAAGGACTCGAGTCTGTTGCTGTGCCCTGTGAGACAGGTATGACAGGGAAATCCACGGGTAAAATACTAGTACCAAAATTTACACACGGTTGTGGGGAGGTAGATTTATATAAAGTTCGGGGGTGATTCTACTGTGGTAAAGTATTCATGTAGTGACTGATTGTACTTATTATAGGAACAAAGACGGATGAAGTGATAGAATGGAGAAATGTGAAGCCCTCTGTCATAAAGCAGACCAGCGCCTTTGTAGAAGGAGTGAAAATGCGCACATATAAGCCCCTAATGGATCGTCCTAAATGCCAAGGATTGGAATCCCGGATCCAGCACTGCGTACGTAGGGGACGCATTGAATACCCACGTTTATTCAGTGAGAGAGAAACAAAAGCCAAAAGAGAGTGTAATGACAAGCTAGAGGAAGAAAATACTATTTTAGAGAAACCAACAAAGAGAGTCTGTGTTGATACAGAAATTAAAAGCATCCTTTAACCACGGAAAACTCTCCAGGATCTAGCAAGCAATAACTAGCTATTGGTAGGTGGGTAAAAAGTGAATACAAGATTTACTGCAGTAAGTCCTAGAATTCAGATGATCAGCTCTTAAAAGAACAAAACCAAAAAAAGCTCTATTTAAAGATGTTTAAGCTTCAACAGGAAACCAAACATTCATTCCTGTCTAAAAGGATTAAGAGATGGAAGAAGCGCCGGGACCGGTTTGGCTCAATGGATAGAGCGCTGGCTTGGGGACTGAAAGGTCCCGGGTTCGATTCCGGTCAAGGGCATGTACCTTGGTTGCGGGCATATCCCCAGTAGGGGGTGTGCAAGAGGCAGCTGATCGATGACTCTCTCTCATCGATGTTTCTAACTCTCTATCTCTCTCCCTTCCTCTCTGTACAAAAATCAATAAAATATATTAAAAAAAAAAAAAAAAAAAAAAAAGAGATGGAAGAAGCGAAAAGCAGATGTAAAATGGAGATGTATTTACAAACACCTGGAAACCTGTGCCTCATGTTCAAATTTATTAAATCTGATCCTGCAAGTGTCTAATTTGTTGTGCTATCCTTTTTAAAAGCAAATGAAATATTCACTACCCAGCTGAATTAGCATAAAGCATGTCTTATTTTCTAGGACAAATTTTAAAAAATTTGTCACATATTTGATAAATTGGTGCAGCCACAATACTACCAGACAATGACCTATTAACCGAATGGGCACAGCATCTCTTACAAAGCTTATCAGTGTAGTGCTGTGTGAGCCATAAATGGTCTTTGTTTTATGTATTTTTCCCCCCAATATTTTACACATATAAAAAAACATTGTTAGCCCACAGGCCGTAAAGAAACAGGCCAGGTGAATTAAGGAAAGCTTTTACAAAGATATCCCAGCTGAATCTTATGGAACAAATGGGAGCAGAGTTAAAGATGACATCTGCATGGTTTAGAAAGGTAAGCAAGGGTTCTATCCATAGAGCCTTGTAGGCCTTCCTAAAAATGCTTAGATTTTCATCTTGAACCATTCAGGTGGGAGATGGGGAGGGAGGAGATTAAAAGCCAGAATTGTGTAGCACAAATATTGTGTATACACTGTGGACTGGAAGAGGGCAAGACAGTAGGACCAATTAGGAGGCTGTTGGAGTAATCAAGGAAATCAATGGCCCAGATTAGATTTGCAGTGAGGGGAACAGAGAGAAGTACATGAATTGGAGATTAAGAAAGGAAAAGCAAAAGGACTTTGGGTGAATGACTATGAGGATCACAAGTAGGGAGGTCGTCAGAACTCCCAGCCTTCAGGTTTAAAGCACATCTAAGACACAGTGGGACATGAAAATGAGGCAGGGCTTTGCTTGTTCTCTAAGTTGATAATTAACCCTCAAAATATTACTTATAAACACCAATATTTATTCAAAAGTGCCCCACCCCCTCCTACTCTAAAAATCAATGGAAAAAATATTCTCAGGTGAGTGAGTTCAGCTGGGCTGGTGTGGTTCTGGTTGAACATCAATTTATGAACCAAGAGATCATGGGTTGATTCCCAGTCAGGGCACATGCGTGGGGTGCGAACTTGATCCCCAAGAAGCAGCCGATTGATGATGTTTCTCTTTCACTGATGTTTCTATCCCTCTCTCTTCCTCCTTGCTCAGCGGTTAGACCATCAGCCTGCAAACCGGAGTCGTGGGCACCTACCTGGGTTGTGGGTTTGTTTCTGTCCCCCACCCCCCATCCCTGTCCAATGTCTCTTTCACATTGGTGTTTCTCTCTCTCTCCCTCCCTCTCTCTCTTTCTCTCCCTCTTCCTTCCTCCCTCTCTCTGAAAAGCAATGGGAAAAAAATATCCTCAGAGAATTAACAAAAAAGCTATATATCAAGTAAATGAACTCAGACCTTCTGCCTCAGTATAACAATTTTCATCACTGCAGAGCGTATTACTTTTTTTTTTTTTTTCCATCTAAAATTGTCCTCTCATGCCTTTAAGAGCCAGTCCTGAACTCAGGGCAGCCCTCCTAAAGTGAGAGGGAGGTTGCTGTGTGTCCTGCCAGACTCCCCTGTTACAACTGAGCACAGGCGAGCAGGGAAAGCATAGGCCAGGATAAGAATTACAGACAGTATTAACCAAAATACCCCAAAGTACCTTCTCTTCAAAAATCTTAAGCGATTTGGTGTCCCAGGTTTAGCTAATTTCAAGAGAAAGAATTTCCCAGGTGGAAGGGATAGTTGGGTCAGTATTCTATTACAGAAAGGCTACTGCAGAGTTAAATCAAATTCCTCTACCTTTGGGAGGTAAGCATGCAAGCTCTATGTACCACAAAATCAGAACAAAACAAAAAATACCCTAAAAAAACAAACAAAAAAAACCCTCTGTAATTGAAGAGACAACAAACTAGGGGAAATATTTGTACCAGGTTAAAAATTGCTAATTTAAATTCCTCTAGAAAGCTAATAAAAGGTACATACACCAGCAAAATAAGACATGATTTATCAAAAAATAATAATAATAATATACATAGAAAAAGATGTTTATATATACAAAAGTCAAACAACTGGAATGACCAGTGGCTATAACATCCACTGCAGCGGCCAACCGGCCCCCACACTAGCCCAGGCCCCTCCCCCAATGGACCCCAGAGGGGGGCAGGGCCAGCAGCCAACCTACCACAGCCCCCCTACCCCCTCCACCAGCCAGCCCAGCTGAAGGGGCTGTGCACAAATTTGAGCACCAGGCTTCTAGTCTCATTAATAATGTAAATAAAAGTATTAAGACATCCTAGAAAATTTTTCAATATTTAGTGTTGGTCAGTGTATAAAGCAAAAAGCAACCTCACCCTCTGTTGTGTGTGTGGATGGGGTGGGGAGGGGTACATCAGTTTTTCTAGAGGGCACATTTGACATTATCCATCAGAATTTAAATTGCACCACAATTTCTAGCCCATCATCCACTTCCAGGAATTATTCTAAGGCCATAAACTGGACAAGAATGCAAACGAATAATCATGCTATCCTACGATGAAGAAAAAATTGGAAAAAAAATGTCCATCATTACAGGATTGGTTATTTAATTTACGGTTAAATAATGCATGCAAGCATTACCATGCATGCATTAAAAGGGATAATGCATGTCTACATGTAATGGACATGTGTTTCTAAAACATTACGAAGGCGCAATGTTTGCTTTTTAAATGAATGTGCTTTACTATATTCAAAGTATACAGTTACATAAAAATACTTGTGTAAGTATAGCCATGTAAATACATATTCATAATGAATACATCTGCAATAAACCCAAAGGTGAGGGTTTTGGGTTTGCTTGTTTTTTGGCTGATGGAATGTCGAGTATTTTTTTTTCTACTCTTCTTAATACGTACCTAATTATTGCTTGACTTACTTATAAAAACAATGAGATTGAGTAATTTTTATAATCAGTTGCTTGATTTACTTATACAAACAATGAGATTGCTTAATTTGTATAATCAGGAGCGGAGGGAAGGTTTATTTTCATTCTAGGGCAGGGCTGTAGGGTTGAATGTCACACTCTATCCTAACACATCTGGGGAAGAGCTGCTCGCACGGTTGCACCTATTAGTTCAAAAAAAAGGGGGACTAGAGGGTGAAAAGCCTTTTACACTCAAATTTACACAAAGACCGAGTCGCCACCCCCTGGTCCCCGCTGGGTGTCCTCTGTTTGTAACACTTCCGGGGAGGCCGGCCCCCTCGCTGCTCCCGCCCCCTGACCCCGGGCCCGTCCACCTCGCTAAACCCCGGCCACCGCGACAGCCAGCCACCGCGACAGCCACCGCGACAGCCACCGCGACAGCCACCGCGACATCGGGGGCTCCGGCTGCCAAGGATCCCTGGCGTCGCCGCAACGAGCCTCTGAGAACGCTGCGACCTCGGACGGTAGGTACGTCCGGGCTCCAGACTGCGCGCCAGGGCATCGCTACCCGGGCCGGGAAGTCAACTCCGCGTACTCAGCCCCGATCTCTCCCCCAGCAGCCGGGCAGCCCGCTGGGCCCTACTCCACCTCCCCCATCCCGTCCCGTCCCGCTTACCGGCCCCGTCGAGGTCCGCTCGACACCCGGTTCCTCAGCTCCGCGGGGATCGGTTGGCGTCCCGCGGCCTGCGCAGGCGCACTGCCGGCTCACGCACGGAGAACGCCCCAACCGCCGGACGCCGAGTTTAAATCGCTAGGACCAACCGGCGCCCTGTGCCCCGCCTTCCAGCGCTCCCATTGGTCCTGGGGGTAAACGCCTTTCACATCTACTTTCTGATTGGTGTATAGTTTTTCTTGTCCCGCCCCCCAGGCCGGAAGTAGTTCGGGATTCAGCGCGTTGGTTGGACGCAGCTGAGTCCCGCGGCGGCTGAGCGCGAGCGCAGAACCGTCGCTTCGTCGCCAGGACGACGGGACGCGGAGGAAGAGGAGGACTCCCAAGCCTCCTCCGGCGGTGATCTCAGCGCCCCGTCCACCTCCCTGAACCAGACTCGGCGGGATCGGTGGCGGCAGGTGTGTTCTCGACGCGGAGTCGTGACCCCGATCCCGCCTCCGCGCTCAGCCCGTCCACCGAGTCTGCCTCGCGGGCTCTGCGTGAAGGCTCGGACGCGCGTGGAGGCCTTTCCGAAGCTCTCTTACCTCTTATTCTCTCTTTGTCTCAGGGCACATCCTATGTAGGTGAATAACTTTTATAACATTATTTTAAATAGTAGCAAAGTGTTCCGATATGTAAGGATCTTAGTTGTTTTTTAGCCTCACCAGAAGATACTTTCTTCCCATTGCTTTTTAGGGAAAATAGAAGAGAAGGAGGGGAAAAGAGCGAGAGCGAGAGCGAGGGCGAGGGAAGGAGGGAGGGAGGGAGGGAGGGAGGGAGGGAGGGAGGGAGGGAGGGAGGGAGGGAGGGAGGGAGGGAGGGAGGGAGGGAGGGAGGGAGAGAAAGAGAGAGAGATGTACTATGGGACAATGCAAATTGCAAAACAAACAAACAAACAAAAAACACAAAAAAACG